GATTTTAATAAAAATACTTGTTTATCATTTAAAAAATTGTGTGTGTCTGTCATTCCACAGTTACATATTAAGGCCATACTGGTGGAGCAGAAAAGGGAAGATTTACTTACACTTTATAATGGGAGCGGAATTTAAAAAAAAGATTTAAAGGGTATTGAATCTGAAATACAATTAATTATTCATTGTTTGGGAAGGTTTGATGGGACAAATATCTCTGTGTTGGTGACATTTTCACCATGAAAAAAAAAAAAGCTATATATGTTGTTAACTAGAACACATGCAATGTTTGTTTGATTGTATCTGTAATATTACTATGTGGAAATTTATCAAAACCAAAGCTCTTAGAACACCTAAAACAGGTCTCCAAATAACATCAGACTGACCAAAACATACTGATCCTTAAAAAAAAAATGCTCAAATTACTGTCATAACTTTATTAGCAAATGGTAATTTTGCCTTTCTTAGCGTCCTATTGCTGATTGATTACTAAGAGAACAACTGACTGTCTGACTATGTATGTCCTGTTCAATCTCATTCAATATCCAGCATGTTGAAAATGGAAAGCATTCTGGCTCCTGTAAAAAGAATTAAGAGACATCACAAACAAGCCAAAATTTTACTCTGAAGTGAGCATACTCTCTAAGTTTATATTCTGACAACTACAGCTTTTGATTTCATTTGTTCACGTTATTGTATTTACAAATATTACAAAATATTTCTATTCTAGCTATATTGCTGATGGTTAGTTCAGTGCCAATTAGAATCTCAAGGAATTACATTTACTGCAGTCTTAACTGCACACATTGTTTCCTGCATATCTGAAGGAGGGAAAGATCTGGAAGGACTTCTAGTTGTGGTCTTTCAGTGCTGCTCACTTCAGGGCAAGTGACAAAAGTGCAAATAAGTGGCGAGCTGCAGAGGTATCTTAGTACATAAGTGCTTCAAAGTGTTATGCTACCAAACAGAGTACCCATACCTAGTTATCAGACCAAACAATTCAAAGTATAATTGTCTCACAACTGTGCAAACAACAGCAGATAAGCTACCAATATTTTCCCAACACCCAGTAAGAAAGAAAATGGACAACCTCAATAACAAATGCTAATACCTGGAGTCTTATGCTGCCAAATGTATACTGCATATCCTGTAAACACAATAATTTGGAAAGATTTTTCAAAATACTGTTTCTTAGCACAAGGGCTCAAATTAAAGGAATGTATGGGTATTCTATGTCATACCTTCAACATAATGCTCAGGATGGAAACCCTACAATATTAATAAAACCAATGATAGAAAAACAAATTTAAATACTATGAAAATTGAATGTTTTATGACTAACAGATTTAAAAAGCCCAGTAAAATAAGACAGGATTTGCCTGGCTTTAAAAGGAAAGCTCATGGGGACCCTAAAGCTAGCCCTGAAAATCTGTATATTGTGACCAGACCATTTTAAAAGTAAAAATTCAACTATTTTTCTGCTAAATGACCATAGTGATTTTTAGCTAAGTTTTTGTAAGTGTTTTTATCACCTCAACTCTATGCTCTGGACTTCAAATTTAAATTCTTGCTCAAGATAACAGTATATATGGGAAACACATAAAACAGGAAAAAAAAGCTTTTTCTGCACAAAATAACCATTGCTATTGGCATCATTCCCAATAAACATAGACTTTCTGATGGATTACAAAGAACTGTGGTACAAATTTGAGACTACTCTCTGAGCAATCCAATGAAATATGAAAATCTGCATTTAAAAAGGGAAAATATTACCTTATGCAGTTAAAAAAATCAAACCATTCCAAGAATAAGTTCCCTCTCCAGACCCTTAGGGAACCTAAATTTGTCCAGCTTAGGAATCCCTCCATTTACATCGGCCAAACAGGTTACACTGTGCAGTAATATTTTGAGGCAGCTGGAAAGACTGCCCTGGAGAAAGGAAGGTGTTTTTTTTTTTTTT